GAAGGAATGATAATTGTTTGAGTAAGTAGAATTTGGAAAATTATTTAATACGATGGACCACAACCACAATAACAAAACTTATTAAAGCTTTTTTAGACTATTAAGCTTGTACGAGGTTGCTAAGCAACATCTATCGGGTTAACGTTTCGACATCTTCGTTTCTCTCATAGATGATGATCCAAGTCCACGGTTCACAATCCACGTCATCTAATCATTATTTCGCTATTTGCTAACTACTTAATCCCGTTTCCTACAGGATAAAGTGTAGACTTGAAAAAAGGGGTGATCAGACCAAAATCAGTCAAGAACCGTTGATTATAAAAAAGCATCGCCAATGTGAGGTTGCCTCATTCGAGTGGAGCTCCACTTCACCTTTATCAACCCGTAGTCCCGATGATCGTCGAGCAACTCGAGCGGGCGCAAGTAAATCTTCCATTTGCGACTGCCGGCGGTTGCTATAGCTCCACTTGTGTCGAACGTGCATCTTCGGCGTGTGTATTCTCGCAGTGGTAAGTATCATTTTATAAAGCTCTTTTGAAAATTCAATACAAATATTGAACACCTCTATTTAGTGCAATACCCAATGGAGTTTTAGTGTATACCTCTGGAACTCCTTGTGAAAATGGCGGCCAGTGCGCAAGCCTTAAAACTGGAGTTTGTGAATACGGAATTTGTGTGCTCACTGCGTGAACGATGCGAAAATGACAGCTCCACTGCTGTAGCAGAGAAGCATTATATTGTGTCAATAAAACGATGAATAATTTTGCGTTCAACAATACTTGACAACATCTATCTTCTTTCGGTCCTTGAATGTGTCGTTGGCCAACGTTTGTGAGGTATTTGTTGTCATTTGTGAATTCCCGGGAGAATTTCATCTCTATATACGGAACATGGTTTTAACAGTAACACATTACGTTGAATGCATTCCCGTCCTAAATATCTACTGTACTGTTACAAAGAAGGTTTTCGACTTCCTATATAAGGCGTGTTTTATCACATCTTAACGCTGCTCACTAATAGCCATCTGAGTCCCATTATGGGTAAGAGTCACCAAAGGCGTATTGGAAAAAATGCTGAGCTTATTTACCATATTGATATTAGAACAAATTCCAAGATTAACTTTCTTTTAGCCATGGGAATAATAATTAGTCACCTGTATCACCTACATCACCTGTAGTACCGTAGACCGTCGAGTGACGAGAGCGGGCGCCAGCAAAACTTCCATTTTCCCCTGTCGCGTGCAAGAGTAGCCCAGTGGGTTCTGCTCACTCTAGGAATCATCGAGCATCATATTTTTCTTCCACGCTCTTCGTGAAGAACTCTGACCACCGGGTCGGTGGCCTTCCTGCAGTTCGTTTGGAATCTCGAGGAATCTAGTCACTAACGGCTCTTTACTATCGGCTGTCGTTCGCACGCATTACGGGTCCGGCCAACCCTATCTTCGATTTATTTATTTATATGATCTTATGAACTAATCTTCTTAAGCTGACGCGAGGTTGTTACACGTCTTCGTTGTCGTTGTCGTTGTCTCGTTTCGGCGTCTTCGCCTTCCTCAGAGCCTGGACGTACTTTGTATTAGGATATTTTTATTACTCGGCGAAAAAAGTTAAAATATTAATGAAGATCAAACTTTCAAATAAACGCCATATTGAACAGAAAGGCCACTCACCGTGATGTTACGTGTGAGACTGGCTCGCACGTAGTTCACGTGGGGTCGCAAGCAAGACAAACCTTGGGGTCAAAATATCGTTTTGAAATAGGGCGCTGGGTCACGCGTGAAATAAGTATATCTACTATCTGTGCCGCGGTTTATCGAAAGTAGATCTTTCGTCTTATCTTCAATTGCTTGGCGTACAGAACGGCATCTTTGACAGTTGACGCAGATCGGAGCTTCGGATCCCATCCCTTACTTTTGTGGAACGGGATACTCCTAGCATCGTCCTTTCGATTGCGCGCTCGATAACGCTGAGTGATCTTTCATCCTGCTTACGCAGCGACCAGGTTTCTTACGCATACGTTCGGGAAGGAAGTACCGTTGAGTCGAAAAGATGAGCACAGAGTCGGGTGTTCCTTGTTCTCTTCACTACATACTCGATGCTCTTGAAAGCTTAATAGGACGCTCGTTTCCTTTTGCCCAGCACTGGGTCTAAGTCGATCATCATGTTGACTACCAGATCTAGATAGACATAAATGGAGCATTCGGAGAAGTTCGTTCCATTAAGCGTGAGTGGGGCATTCGAAACCAATCCGTTTCTCTTGAATATCGTTTTTGTGAAATTTAGATGAAGACAAATCTATCCATAGGCTCTATCAAAGTGGGCAATCATCCGTTCCACTTGGCTAATGTTTGGTGTTATAAGGACGATGTCGTCAGCAAAGCGAAGATGGTGTAACTGCCGAACATCGATTTTTGTTCCCATATTATCCCATTCCAATGTTCGCATAAGGTTTAAGAGTGTGGCGGTAAATAATTTTGGCGAAATGGTATCGCCTTCCATAACTACTCTTTTGACGTTGATGTTAATATCGCTGTAGAACGGCCATACCTAGGCTGAGGAATTTTTGTACAGCTCGCGAGTGAACTTTATGTACTGAGTAGGGACTCCTTGGCTATCAAAGGCTTCCAAAACTGCTTCTCTCTCAGCTGAATCAAAGACCTTCTGTAAATCGATGAAAGTGAGACAGAGCGGTCTGTTCTACTCTCGCATTACTTCCATGAGCCTTGTTACCGTGTGGATGTGGTCCTCCGTACTAAATCCTTTTCGTAACCCTGCTTGCTCACATGGCTGTCCTTCGTCTAGTGTTGCGTCAATCCTATTTAGGACGACTCGAATGAAAAGTTTGTAGACGACAGACAGTAAGCAGATTGGGCGAATAGTTGCCGATATCGTGTAGGTCACCCTCCTTAAACAATAGCACGATCCTGCTGGTCTTCCACTGAGTAAGACCTTGCATTCAGACAGGTAACGTGTGAAGAGCAGAGCCAGTGTGTATATGAGGACTGGCGGAAGGTTCCTCAGGCGTTCTAATCTTACCCTGTCCGGACCTGGTGTTGTTTTCTCCGACGAAATGGTATGTCGGATTTTGGAAGGAGAACCGGCGGTACAACATATCCATCCACCTTTGTTTGGATTTGGACGTGGCTATCGAAAAGATCTGAGTAGTATTCGTGTATGATTTTCTCCATTCTCTTTTGGTATGCTGTAACTGTTCAGCCTGGGAGCCGGAGTGCAAACGTTTTGGCCTTGTAATTGGCGAAGCTTCGGCGGTCTTTGCGAATGCTTTTCCCAGCCTCTGAAGCTTCGAACATTACTGCTGCTCTTCTCTTTTTAAGATCTTCTTTCATCGCCTGTCTGCATTGATTTGCAGGTTCGGTCGTTAGTTCGCGGTTGCCTGCAGCTCATGCGATTCCACGCTGACGTATCAGCTCGAGTGTTTCTGGAGATAAACGTCACTTGGTGACTTTTGAATTCTTGTCTTTCATAGCGCTAACGTAAAGATGTTGAATGAGCTGATCGTATTCTTCGTCGATTTTATCGACAACGGCATCTTCCCAACTGTCGATTAATGTATGTATTGAATAAATCACAGTTTGAGGTGGTTCCGGGGGTTCTGTTTTTGAATTTAACTCCTTTCCGCGAGAAATAGAATCTTGTATGGAGGAGGCGATGGTCTGATCTCGTGTAGAATTTTTGAAACAACAGTGAGTTCGGTTAGGCAAAACCTTCGGTTTACTATGAGGTGATCTATTTCATTATGGTACTCTCCACTAGGAGACTCCCACGTCTAGCGTTGACGGTAGGGCTTCTGGAATTGCCAGTTACTATGGATGGTCTTGGTCTTCGTGATAAACTCAGCCGCTCACCCTCTTCGTTCCATTCTATTCTATGGGTCAGTCCCAATGTGACGTTACGTTCTTCTTGGTCCAATCAGGCTCACCCAGAATGGAAATGGAACTTATTTGTTGAAGACAACTCCTAAGCCCCTCCCATGCACTTTCCCGTCACGTGATTGCAGGCTTTTGGCTGAATTGACTCGTAGAATACAATCCGTATGAGCGAGAACGAGCCCACACACAGGCATGAATACGCCTAGCAAATATAGAAAGTACGTGCCAAATCGACGCAGCAGAAACAAGGAGTCCATACCCTGGATCCGCCTGCGTCTCAAGGAAGTCAAGGTCGCTTTTGGCCCGCACTAACCTCTATTCGCCACCTGTGGACGCGCCACGTAGCCTCGCGACTAATCGGATCGAGATCCCTCATATGAGGAAGATCCGCGGCCGTTTCGTACCTACATTTGTTACCCTAATGAAGAACAACATAAACGAGGTTTTGTTTCACCCACGTTTTTCGTTTTGGGGGTAGTTCCCTTTCTAAATTTATCTCGTCGAATTACTATTTCCAGGCGGTTAGAGATGGTTATTTGCCGAGCCAAGTTGCGCGACTCCTCATCACTTCCCTCTTGGTGCACACATAGTTCGAACTATTCGAACATAGGCTATTCGAAGCATGTTTCTCAAAAGGAGCCTTTTGTGTTTGAAGGGTGGAAAAAGAAAAAACGAACGAGGATATTTTCGTTACTCGGTTTTCAGGACCACTTTGTCACGTAAACGTAAAGCAAATTACTCATAACACTTTTGGAACAATATTGAAAAAAACCTCATGGGGAAGACTTAATATTCTGCCTATCGGGAAGTGGAACGTATTGACTAGCGCTGATTCAGAGTAAGAAATGCGGGCTTTCAATGCATCAGAGAACCAATCAGGAGACAAAGGAATTGCGTTTTGTGTCAATGAACAGCACGAAGGCCAGTTTCCGTACACAGAGTGAAAAAATAACTTCAACTATAACCTTCTTCACAAAAACTCTATTCGCGTTTTCAAGGCCAAGAACAACACCGGAAAAAAATCACTGACACTAGATAAACGTCAAACAATTTATGTTTATTCACTTTCATGCAATAATGAAGTATCTTGGTGTCGTTGCTGTCGCGCCATTCAAACAGCAATTACACAAAGTCCGTTTTCGCAAAGACCGCTCTTAGGACTTGTGCATTGTCCGGCGTTTCCGCATGGATTTCCGGATGAGTACACTAATGTGCCGACCTGTACTTCACTGAAATAACTTATATACTGCTGAATTCCAATGAAATTATTCACTAGCTCACTACTCTGTGTAACCTACGGTTGCGAGAAGAAACACGCCGATGATGCACGATCTTTACACGTGGCGCTGTAGCAGCCAGCAGCTGTCGCGTTTGCACTGATCATCTAAAAATAGACTAAGATATTAAACAGCCATGCATCATAATTTCTACTGTTTCTTCGGCTTAAAAAAAGGATAAATCTCTGGACGTTGATCAACCCTTGAGGAATGCGCCATGCATTCGACTTCATTAAGTATCGCTGTAGGTGATTAATGACTCGCGGTGGCCTACCGATGTATCGAGCCAATGCTGCTATTCTCCTAGACAAGTCTGCCACCAATTTGCCGACCCCGGTGGATTGGAGGCTTGATGGGCCAAAGGCCCGTGGATCGATTCCACGTGTGTGTCGCAGTTACGTCCCCAACCACTGCGCTACACGCGCCTCAGTTTGACTTTGTTCAATGCCGGTTTATGCACCAAGGATCATTGCCGTGATAAGTGATTGCTGATGCCACCGTTAGGATAAGGAAAAGCTAGCCGAGAGAAAGTCAAAGTGAACGCCTCGGTGGTGCGGTGGTAAACATGTGAACGCCCGGAAAGGTTCGAGTCTGGGATGGCGTTGGAGTTTTGCAAATAACTCACCATCATTGTGGGCATATTTCATACAATACCTTACCAAAAAAAAATAATAGGCAGTAAATAGTAAGCTGTAGATTGCGATTTAGGCTAAGATATTGTTATTCATCTTAACCCTGCAATGAGTGTAGACTCACATTGGCAAAACTACGCAGTGCTTCGTTCCCGTTGAAGACATTGTCGGCTGGCCAACCAGCGTTTGCAATTCCTATCCACTTCCACATTGAAGCCGTAATTGGACTCCTGAGCACCTCCTCAGCCATGTATGGGCCATAGCTGGATTACAGGAACATAAAATGCAGAAGGCAAATAAGCAGTTTTTACCGCACATTTCGTAGACACGTCTTTTCTAAAGCTCACTAGTTGAAATTCACAGCGTTTGTCGAAGCTGAAAACGATGCGCGTTCAGGACAATCCAGCACAGATCCTTTAGCGACTGCTTCCAGATCGCAATCCCATCTCTAAAACGTCCGGCACTTGTGATGACATCTTACTGGCCCATTGTTCTTCTCGAATGTGGCTTCGTGTGAATGCTTAGTGGGACGCATACAACATTCTATTATTAAAGTGGAGAAAGAGTTACCAGTTTGTTCATATCACTTGCAGATGACAGACCAAACTCTCGGTATTGTCCCAGCGCAACACGTGCACGAATGAAGTTAAAAAAGCTGAGAACGTCATCCCTCGTTTGATCGCTAATGGCACTTCCTTGGCAGCCAAATGCTAAAACAGATATCGGCCACTAATTCTTGTAGATTAATTTTTCTGAGATTTGGATCGTTAAGGTCTTTCTTTACAACGGAGAAAAAAAAAGCTGGAAGCACTTACGCTTTTTAAATCCACCATTGCATTCACTAGATTGTAGAAGCTGAAAATTTTTATAACACGTCTGTTCAAGAAAGAAAGTATATGGTTGTCAGTTAAATGGCCACTAACTGCACAACAGAAAACGGTCATTGCTATCCGGAACATTTCGGAAGGCGTACGGTATCTTAAATAAGGTAAAGCTGAAGACATTACACGTATTGCAAAAGTTCAAATTCAATAACACAAGTGTGGAACCAAAATAAAGATTTGTTTTGTTGGTCCCGGTAGGTTTGGTGGCTTGGTGAGCTCGGATAGAGGGATCGAAGACAGGTGTATTGCTGGACACCTATAACCAATGCGCTCCAACGCCGGTGAGAGATGAGTCAATTATAGACCGCAAGTTACGTTAACCTAATCGTTAGAGGCTTTCGCAACCACTATATATCGGTAGATGAGCTGTTTGCTCATCTGTTGGTCGTTTAGAAGATCATTTAGCAGCTGGTTCATTCTGCACTCGTTGAACTCATTCGTGAACAGAAACTTCAACCTTCACGTTGCAAGCACGGAACAGCTCCTGGGAGCAACATACCGCCATTTTCTGCGATATTTTCAGCATTTTTTTTTGAGATTATACCGATATCGAACGCTTGAGTATGCTGACCAAAATTCGTCGAAGAAGAACAACAAAGGATTTTACCCCACCATTAAGTCGATCGATATTCTTTAATACAACAGCTAGTGTGCGGATGTTTACAAGAAAATCAAATGTGTATGTTTTTGGCCAACCTAACGGCAATGCATCGCCAGAAGAAAAGATTTACAAACAATTAGCACCAAACAAAGTTTTTATACGTCTACAGAACAAGAAACGTCTTTAAAACTTAGTGTCACAAACTGGTTCTTACAAACTGTTAACGATTCTCCGGTAACTACAAAATTTGAGAAATTGAAGACGTGGCCAGCTCTTGGTTCTTGAAAACGATTACTGGGATTTAAAACTGTCTGGAGTAAAAGTGTTTGAAGCAAGTGGAGGAGAAATGCAATATATGAAAATTTTGAAAAGAATTGCGTCGATCGTAAACATCAACAATGCTGGTGTTATGCAGGGCGATTTACGGATTATTCAATTCCTTTCGTTTTCGAAATACTAGCAGTGTTATAAAGAAGTCACAAAACCATAGAGTCTGGGCCCCATAAAATCAGGATTTCATGTTGGTAGAGTAGGAGATCTTCAATGTAGTTGCCACGAATCTGCAAGTTATAAAGGACTCTACTCAATCGAATTAGTAAAATTTACTTTGACCTTCTCCCCAACGGTTCATCGTCTCATCGTGGCCGGGAGGTGTTCGTGGGTGTCGGAGTGCGATATACAGCAAAGGGATTCATCCTCCTGGCATGGTCTTCCAAGCTGAGAAGGGGTTCGGGATTTCCATCAGAAATCGTAGCTAAGAGTAAACCAATATGAGGATCCACCGCCGTTCTGGAATCAAAGTCGCATGGTGGTAAGTCCCTCTCTTATCCACAAGGACTGCTAGTGCCTCTGGTGGTGAAGACCTGGGTTAGACTTTGAACAGGCTGATCTCGGGATTCCAGGGAACGACAATGACTTAACCAGAAGATCTCCGAAAAATGGAGTTTATACCGGGGGCCCGCACAAGCAGTGAGGACGGGCCGTTCAAGTATCAAGTAAGTGAGTACTTTCACTTTAGTTATGTTGACATAAAGTTGAAAGCGGCTTGTCCTTGTCGTTCAATGTCACTGGAAACCACTTAGCACTGGAAACTAAAGATTAAAAACTTTTCTGCTGTTTCCACTCAGATGACGCCATACAATTAATTGTGCGCCGTAGCCCACCTACTCCAAAGTTTCGCTCCGTGGATCAGAGTTTCATTAGTGTGTACTCAACTGGTAATGATTCCCAACGTGAGCAACAGGTGAAAAAATAGTTTACGTTCTGGTATTCAAAACGTTGACGCAAATACAATGACACATCCAGATTATCGAATCTTCTAGGCGCATTACCGACATAGTACTGGGTTAACAGTATCAGCAACAAGCTTTTCACTGATATGATCTATAGAAACAATATAACCCAAACGTTCACCCAAAAACCACTTTAAAGGCAAATATTATAAAAACAATAGACACGCAAAGGCTTATCCCTAAGGGAGAGTTAACCATACGCGTCTCACATCGCAGTTGTCCTTCACACTCTCGCGATGAATGGCACTTGTAGGTGTCATTGTGGCCAAGTGGAAGTGGTCAGTATGAAACCTATAGGTCTCATTTTCTTTCTGATGGTTTACTTCAACACATATGGTTATTTATTTTATATACACTTTCCTCCAATAGTGCACAGATCTAAGTGTTTATATCACTCTAATTTTTTTTGCGGTAATTAGGCACTGACGACGTGAGAAAGAAGGGAAAAATCAGAGGATGAGGATAATTCTTTCTACTACCGTTTAGCAAACACGAGGTGTCATTTTATTCCTTTATTTACGTACAAGCTGACGTTTCGGCAGAATCGCCTTCCTCAGAGCTCGGAATGGCGGACTAATACGCAACTTACTAGGTAAAACGCTTCAACAGCACAACAGCTGTTTAACAACCTCGCGATTGATGTACCCTTCCAAGTTCTGAAAAAAGCGATTTTGCCGAAAACAGGTTAGATTTCGTGTGAAATAAAAATTACTAGAAGGATTTGCGGAATTTGGTTTCTGGGATCCAACAAGGTGTTCTCCAAAGGATGGGCGTCGAACTCCAATAGCCTTTAAACATAGAAGTGCAGCAGCAACTATCTGATCGTGACCGACAAAACTCCTCATCTTTTGGACATCTGCAAGTACACATGGTGACTGATGGAAACGCCGGACTCCTTCTTAGCTTGGAAGACCCTGCCCGTGGGCACGAGTCTCCTCGCTGTACATGGCAGTCCGTCACACAAGAACACCTCCCAACCACGATGAGGCGGTAAACGGTTAGGGAAGAACATCAACTATAGATGACTTATGTAAATGGATGAGACTGTGCATTAAATCAGTGCAGTAGATCCACTCCAAATGTGCTTCGTGAACTCGAGTTTTTCTGCAAAGCGATAAAGTAGACGGATTCGCCACTATTTCTCTCTTTCTATTTTTTGACGAATGGGACGACGTGCGTCTGAGCACTTTTCTACCTGAGCTGTTTGTTCTTTCCGCATTTTGCCTTTTCCATTCGTTTTTTTGCTCATTTTTTCACACTACAAATATCCTCTATGTCCCCTTTATATCTGAAGTAGCCGTGATTCATCATTGTGAAAGACTGCGAAGGAAAAAGTAGTCAAACTGATGCGGATGTAGATTTCGTTGTGCGAGGGGTGATCCGAGATGGATCTATTGGGGCTATGCTGGGCCTTGCACAACTAGTGAGGGCGGGCCGTTCAAGTATCAAGTATCAAGTATAGTTGATGTTTGATGCTTCCAATCTCACCGTGAGCGAGACAAATGGATGGATGAAGTGTCACCATATGTACTTGCAGATGTCCAAAAGATGAGGAGTTTACCATGTGTACTTGCAGATGTGCAAAAGATGAAGAGTTTTGTCGGTCACGATCAGATAGTTGTTGCTGCACTTCTACGTTTGAAGGCTATTGGAGTTCAACGCCCATCCTTTGGAGAAGGCCTTGTTGGATCCAAGAAACCAAATTCCGCAAATCCTTCTAGTAATCTTTATTTCACACAAAATCTAACCTGTTTTGGCAGAATCACCTTCTTCAGAACCTGGAAGGGTACATTAATCGCGAGGTTGTTAAACAGCTGTTGTGCTGTGAAGCGTTTTACCTAGTAAGTTGCGTATTAGTGCACCATTCCAGGCTCTGAGGAAGGCAATTCTGCCGATACGTCAGCTACAGTTGTGTTGTTTGTGTGTTATTGTACGGTGGTAAACGTATGCTGTTTAACAACCTCAAGATTGCTGAGAAAGAAAATACAACATCAATGATGCTGAGATATTTGCAAGAACTGGCTTAACTGGGTTCGTTGCCTATTTGGGTTCCCTAGATCAATCCCGCTGATGGATGATTGCTGATGGCAAAAGATCGATAGAACTAGCTGAGAGACAGGCGAAACGAAGGACTCGCATGGTGTGGTGGTGAACGCGTTACCCTCCGGAAAGGACAGTAACGCGTTCGCTCCCCACTTTAGACGCTTGAGGTCCGTAGTTTTCCAATTATCTCCTTTGGGGCAAATTCAAAAACCCAAAAATTGAAAGCCGGGTGAGTTTGTACGCATGCATAGCCACCGTTATTAATTGAAAGTTGGTCGCGTGAATTACTACACGAAATTCCACCAAAGAACAACTAATTTGTAGTGGAGATAGATCGCGCTAATATGTCAAGGGCAAAAATCCAAAGAGGTATGGAGATCACTTTATTCATTGTCTGTTTAGATGGCTTATCCGACATCAATTTTCATCACAGGAGCAAACAGATGTATTGGCCTTGGTTTAGTAAAGGAGTTTCTCAAAGTTTCGTCTGTGAAGATTGTAATAGCTGCTGCAAGGATTCCGGAAAACGCCAAGGTAAGACAATGGATTTTCTATTAGAAAAGCATGCATTTTAAATTAGAGAAAACAATTCATAATTGAAATTATTTAAACGCTCGTTGATTCTACCATAAAAAATCCCTCCGGCCATAGTGAACGGTTGTACAGAAGATCGATTCCTGGATTGTTTTTGTAGCCTAATTTTGTGGTCTCCTTCTTTGTACAATGACATTTGTAAGCATAAGTCCGTGATGTGTAGTCGTTCTAGGCATGAATGCAGCTGGCTGACACGAACCCCCCACCATGGCTGCTCGTTTCTCTCCCTGTGTTAACCTTGCCGTTCTTTAATCTATCAACAACATTTCTCACCACATGATTGGGTCACCTATGTTCCTTGTCGAGGATCTCGGTTGACAGGCCTCATGTTTTCCATACTTTAAGTAAATATCCCCGATGACACTTCAACAGGTTGCTGCTATATATTCCTAGGATCCGTTTTTATATAAACCAGGCGACAAATTCACTATCGGTATTCTCAACAATTCAGTTCGTTGGCATTATCCACACTATGAACGTGCCTGTGCTCGAAACTGTAGAGGATCATCAACAATGAAAATATCTAGAAGTAGTAGTAGTAGTAGTAGCAGAAGTAGAAAAAGAAAAAAACTCCTCTCTTCCAGTCACCTTTCGAGGATAGCTATTTTCAAACCTGCAGCGATCTCTCACGGGAGTCACCTATTGCTGGTTGCGCGTGCTGCATCCAAACAACTTCAGTTGTCTTCTAAAAAACCTTTCTAGTGCATGTGGTAAAAGCGAATTCAAAAACAAGTCCAATATTCGGCACAACTTTGATACTATCTTGTAAGCATTGTGCTGTGGTTCGTTGGCTGTTACCAGTTTGCTTTTCATATAAGGAATGGTTTGGCGCACAGAGTGTTTTTGCCATGCACGAGCATTCCGTCAATTTTTGAACAAAGGAATGATATATATTTGGTGATGCTAGCCACTTAGGACCAGTCTGCAAAACATTTTCCATACGCTGGAAGCAACAGGAATCCTCCGCAAAAATCATCCTATGGTTTCTTGGTTGTGTATCGATAACTAGCTCACACGACATGGATTCTGTTCTTCTTTTGGCGTATCGCAACGAGGTCAAAGTTTCTTAACTCTCCCCGTTAGAATCCTCCATAATTTCTTCAATGAACAAATTGAGTTCTAGAGAATTGAAGGATCTGTTCGATTTTTTAAGGAACCCAAAATGATTGCTCTGCATAGACAAAGTTCATGAATAGAAATTGTGAAAGTTATTGCTACAGTGGTTCGGAATAGAGCGGACGATTTTTCAGTTTTCCCGAATCTTATCTGCACTTACAAAGTCTTCGATATTACTGTTGACTTTTCCTACATTGGAACGGTACTTTGTTTGTTACATTGCATTACTGGTTGATGGACTCATCACACAGTTTGCTGCTGCCACAGAAATATCCGTCCTGAGGAGAATGCGAGCCACAAAATGTGACGAAGACTTCGGTCGTATGTGATGAAAACCTGAGTACGCTTTGTTACTCCCACCTCTAGTTTCTGCGAAAAATCATACTCGGCCATCACTCAGCACGTGAAGGAGTACATAAATTCAACGATGCTCGAGTTGCATACGTCAGCCACTTCTGTGCTTGACAGTTACAAGACAACAGAACCAGCGAAATTTCTGCTCGGGTTCGCAATTAGTGTGACGGCAAGCCGTTTAGGTTTCTAAGTACACCGAAATAGCTTCTAAAGTTTACCACTTATCAATGCTTCAGGTGAGATTTGTACTCAACAAGAGTTGCTATTAAGAAATCACCAGTGAGAATGCCGGACTTTGAGTGAAAATGTAAACGATTGGCCTATTTAAAAATAATTGAAGATAATTTTTGTATGGTAACAAACAATCGCTTTAAAAAGTGTAAGCAGTTAACCATAAAAATGTTCCCACTGTAAAGCTTGAAAAAAAAACACCTGAGTTTCCGAAAAGGACAATTACAGGTTCGAATCCGGCCTGGGTTCTGAGTTTGGCAAATATTTCAGCGTTTTTTGTTATGCTCCGCATAATACGCTGCCATAGGGACATGTGTAGCGCAATGGTTAGACGTTTCCTACAATACACATGCATTCGATCCTTGCCCTAGGCTCACCAAGCCCTTCATCTCTCTGGGACCGGCAAACTGGTTTCACATTTTCCTGGGTTAACAGCAGTGCTTCTTCAATATATTGGCAGCCCACTGCGAATTATTTGTAGGTCGGATTTGCATTCATTCACCTCTAATGATGCTGGATGAAGTTGCGTACTTGGCGTGATCAGGGATTGATCAACTTCGGAAGTTTTTCCTTCTATCCTTTTCCCCTTACATGAAGAGCTAAGAGGCACTAAAGAAAGAGGTTTATTCCATAAAACATTGTTTTAATGAGCACACATGTAGATGGAAAAGTTTTGATGCGGCATTGTGGTGCTGTTACTTCAACACCTTCTAGGATTTAATTGCCATAAACGGCAGTCGGTTGAAAATCGTCAAAATGGATGTGACGTGTGATGACTCAATCAAGGATGCATACATCGAGGTTGGTCTCTGTTTTCGTAAAACACTTGAAAACTTTTTATTTTAGTATTCTTACCATTCATAATTCACAATGACGTTGTTTTACAGCCGGTCTTCAGTCCCTTTATGAACGCTCAGGTAATTTAACTGGTGTGAGCCTTTCAGCTCCTTTTGACAACATCCAATACCCGAAGCAGAATTCTCAACAAGTAATGATGATTTCTCAGTAGTTATAGATACGAGTAAGGGCGCCTGTGGCGCAGTGGTCGGAGACACTCTGCAACGCACACGTAGAATCGATCCCCGCGCTTATGGCCCACCAAGCCTTCCGTATCTCCGGGGTCGGCAAATTAGTAGCAGACTTGTCTCGGAAGAAAGGTACCGGAGGCCACTGCTGGTCATTGTAAGTGCTAGATATGCATTCAATCACCTCCAAGCGATGCTTAATGAAGTCGAATGCGTGGGGCGCCTCTCAGGGACTGATCAACGCCAGGAGCTTCATCCTTTATAATTCCAACTTCATAAGTTTATAGAGTTCCCGTCATTCTAATAGTATATTTATTTTTCCTAAAATCGAAAAGGCAGTTTATATGAATGTGTCGTTTTCTTGTTCAGCAATCGCGAGGTTTTTAAACAGCATACATTTACTTCCATGAAAACACAATACAATACAACGCTAGCTGACGTTTCGGCAGTATCGCCTTCTTCAGAGCCTGGAAGGGTATGCTGATATACAATCTACTAGGCTAAACGCTTCAATAACACTTACACAAATACGAAAGACTCTTTGGTAACTACACGATCAACAACTTCTCGAAAAACCCACCGCTTTTTCGTGACTTCCAATGAGGAAGTTTAGAACAGCTGATTATAGTCGCATGTGGTTGACGACTGCACCATGCACCAACTGCACCACCAAGGCAGTTTATAGTTTCACAACTTTCAACTTAAGAACGGTGAAGGCCATTATACCTCTCTAAACTAAATTCCGCCCACACCTTTCATTTTCTTGCTTGTTAACTTGCTTCCCAGCTCGAATTATGAGCGTTGCAGCAGTAGCGAGGAAAAATTACATCTCATAATATCCAACAATACAACGGTAATGGTAGAACCAGGGTACTAGTATTTCGTAGGCAATGACTGGTAGATTTTAGTGATGGTATTTTAAATTGGTAAAATCCAGTGAGAACTTAAATATGCTGATTTGTAGTTGAAAGTGGACACCATTTTTATTTTCTCATTAAACGCATTGCATAGAATGCATATTGGGGGTAATGTTAAGTCATGATGAACGAGAAGGAAAGTGCCCCATAGTATTCAATGTATTTAGAAAGAACTTATAGAAAGATTTTCGATATCCACAAATTCTTTAACATTGTTGGCTTTCTAGTAGCTTGAATTTCAAAGAAATTATCTAGATACTAAGTGCAAATGCTGCTATGAGTATAGTTAAGTTTTTTTGAGTATAGTTAAGGTGATGGCACTGATCGATAGAAAACTAGCTGAAAGACAGGCGAAACGAAGGATCCGCATGGTGTTGTGGTGAACGCGTTAGACCCCGGAAAGGGTAATAGCGAGTTCGTTCACCACCGCAAACACCTGTGGGCCAGATTTTTGCAAATATCTCACCATCGTTGTGGTTAAATAGCTAGTATTTTTAGGCTCGTTGAATATCAGGTCACAGTCACATTTTAGGTAGAGAAATCAGTTGGAGAAGCTGGACTGAATGTTCTACTAAACAACGCTGCTATCTTCCCACCATATTTCACTAACGGAGTTATTAGTCGACAAACGCTTATGGAATGTGTCAATTTTAACACCGTAGGAGTTGCTATTACTTGTCAGGTGCTCATTTATGACTTTTTTGCTTGAACCATCATCACACCTACTCTATCGATCTCTGCACTTCTTGCAATCGATTCGTTTTGAGGATTTTCGTCTCCTTTATGAATGTCGTAGAATACTGATCCGGTAGATTTTCCTTGTAATCTTGCAGATAGAGGTTCTAGGCCGTTCCCACGTTTATTTGACGAGAACATTGGATGCTTATTCCCAATTCCTAAAATCGTTACCATCTGCCAATCCAGATGGGTGAAGTCAGCCACGAACACGTCTGACTATCGCTTAGGTGTTCGCCCTAGAGGGTGCTTGGATTGTCTTGGAGTCCACTCCGCTGTTCTTTTTGCTCACTGTCATGTGCTTTAAATATCATATAACTCCTCCACTAGTTTTTCACTATCGATATACATTCTTCTACATCCGATGTTAGAGGTTCCGAAGATTTAAGCTACGTATTCCGGCAAGACGTTCGGGGTGCGGGTTAGATTTCAAAACACATCGTTCAAACCCTTTTGGAAGTGTGAAAGGTTCTTAGATTGGCCACGTCTACCGTGTAAAGAAGTCCTGAAATAATTGTTGACTTGGAAAGATGGACCCGGATTTTTGGGTCTGTTAGCTGGTTAATGGCCTTTTCGATAGGCCCAAAAGCGGCCCATGCTACTCTTCTTTTTTTACTTCTTCATCATCTTCGTCGCGTTAACCAAATTTTCGAGGTTTGCCTACAACTTCGTCTATGGCACTAGCAAATCAACTATCTCAATTTTTCCGCACTCCACTAAGGACTTTTTATGATGTTTTTGTCCTTTTTATGCGTAGTGCAATTTTTTCCCCACTTCGTTGAGGCTCTGCTTCAGTGGTGCACCTCCGGAAGGAGACGGCGTCGTCCGCAAGACGATCACTTGATAAAAGTGGTTGACCAGTGTGTTTATCCAACCTGTTCTTATCCACCGAATTTATTTCCCCATTTAATACGATAGTGAGCAGTGAACTTCAAAGGGTGAGATCCCGTTTGGTTTTTCTCTTCAGTTTTCCTCTACCAGAGATTTCAGTTTCTCTGATGGGGATTTTGGAACAGGATCTACATATCATTGAGGTGTCAAAGTGGCAACGTTTTCTGTTCATGAGAATATGGTCGAACCCTGCATGAGTTGTGTGTTTATAAAACTACTCTGTCCACATATTTTCTCTTTTCTCGGAGAAGGAATTCCTATATAAAAACGTCTTTCCGACAGGAATCCTCTAAAAGGTTTCCATTCTCATTTCGATCTCCGATTCCGAATTTCCTTATTCTATAACTGTTTTTTTTGGTACCATCTAGTCTGGCATTTAAGTCTTCAACAAACAATACCCCATGTTTCGGCGGTATCGTTTTCATCACAGCCTAGAAAGCTTCAAACTGACATGCATTCTGCTCAAGCAAATATTTTCACAACCTTAGCAGATAGAGTTTAACACATAAATTACCATTCGTTTAATGAACAGCTTTTTTCAAAAGACTCGCCGTTTTGTTCTATGTAAGCATCCCAGTTATTTGGAGGTGATTAGCAGCAAAGAGTGTTGCATGGGCGAGGAATGTGTTTGTGTGAGGTCAAAGAATCAACCTGAAGTATGGCACTAGGTCAAGCGTGATCGCAAAGTGACTTCCCATTGAGGTTCACTTTTAGATTTCTGGAACTTATTCAAAACACTGTTTCAACAGTTTTTCCACGCTAGTGGTTTGCATCCCTGTGCGAGGATAGCAACTTATACTTCGAAATTTCCCTCTTATGTCTTCGTGCCCAATGCGCGTTTGGTGGAATATTTGGTTTCAATTCAAATTTGCTGACTAGATGTTCTTTCACAAAGGCGCACTGTCATCTTCCAGTTTTGAAAATGTATTCGTTCCCGTGCACTAGGTAATGGATCATACAAGCCGTACCCGAACTCAGGCGATCTACATCTTCACTGTTAGGGAATATTATACAATTTTACGTGGTACTTGGACTGTCATATAGCATATACGAACTACTTTCCTGGCTCTGAAAGAGGCAAAACCGTCGAAACGTCAGCTATTGCTTATCAGTAAATGCTCCGATACCAATGTCGTGCTGGCTCATCAAAAAAGGCATACGGGCATTCTTTTAACGCGAAAGTTGGAGACAAATAATGACTAAGCATGGTGACAGGATCTCGTATGGGTTTGTTTTCTGAGAAACAGATGAGTGTACGGCTAAACCAATGTATTTTTGTTTTTCTGCTTTTCTTCTCTTGTAAGCGACGGTATGAGATTTCATGCCACCTGCGATCTCAAGAGGAGCGCAATGATCGGTATCTGAAAAGACTACTTTCGTGTTATAAGTGCAGAGCACGGAATAGTCCTTACGAAATGTCACGAACTTATTTATTTGGTCCTTTTCCAGTGACGGCGTTTCCGATTCGAGATTTTATCCCCGCTTCAAAAGTAGTGGTTCCAAGGAGCTGCGAAGTCATACTAGCCCATGCTTTCCTCATGCCGCCACCTATACAAGTTGTCCCGAGTTTTTGCAGTTCAGAGTGATCATTTAAGAATACTTACTTAGGAATTGATGCTTGAATGACACTCCTCACTGGTTGTGCGCGCCCCAGCATAATCTCCATTTCTCGGAGATATGCTGGCTAAGCCATTGTGGTTCCCTTTAATCCCGAGGTCAGCTCGGTAAAAGTCTGCCCCAATTCTTCACCACCAGAGGCACTAGCAGCCCTTGTAGATCAGAGGGAGGTTTGCCACTATGCGGCTTCGAAACCAGAATGGTGGTGGATCCTGGTACTGGTTTACTCTCGGCTAGGCTTGCTGATGGAAACGCCTGACTCCTTTACAGCTTGGAAGATCCTACTAGCGGGACGAATACTTCCGCTGTACATCGCATTCCGACACCCAGGAACACCTCTTGGCCACGACGAGGCGGTAAGCCGTTGGGAGGGATCGTTTAAGAATAGCGGATAGTATTTCCACTGTTTCAAAAACTTTTTACATAGTAGTTAACGCTAGCGTATTCTTTATCTGTGTAACAAAGCATCTTATTTTTCTTCCTTAAACTATTTGAAATGACCAATCAGCATTTTTTTTCTCCTTCAGACTTTCTTACCTCTGTTGAGCAAGGCCTCTTCTCATTGCACAGGTAATCACTTGGGTGTTGACCGTGCTGCCATCATAAATATGTCGAGTTGCTCGGCTTCAATTATGTTGAACGAGGAAGGATCCGGTGTTGTTGGTTCTCTGGCTTACAAAATTAGTAAAGTATGTCTTCAAAGTTTTCCTTCTTAAAACTGAATCATTCCTGTTGCATTATCAAAAGCGATTTCCTAACGGTTAGTTTTTCAGTCCGCTTTGAACCAATTAGGGAAAACAATGGCTGTCGATCTTGTGAGTGAGAAAGTGCTTATCGCTCAGTTTCATCCTGGTTGGGTGATAACCGATATGGGCACTATGGGTGGACGAGTAGCTGAAATTACTGTAAGTTGCTCGTTAAAATATTGGGCACTTCGCCAGATTTTGAGCAGATCTGTGTTAAATTCTCCGTCCACTTGAGCGACTTCCGAGATTTTTCCCACGTTTGAGGATTGCATTGGGCAAATTTTCGATGTTAGCACACCACTAAGCATTGAATCTCTTTTAAAGAAAAATTGTCAAACACGATATTTCTCTGAATTCCAACCAAATAATCGCAATGTCTTTTCAAAATTTAATCAATTGCGATGCCACTCAACTTCATATTTTATGCGCTCGGTAATCTGTTATTTCATTTGTAATACTTTAGGTGGAGGAGTCGGTCTGTTCACTGGTGGAGTCAATGTCAAAGTTACGAGAGCGACACAATGGAGGATACTTCGACCGCCGACTAGAAGTCATGCCTAATTAGTTAATTTTTGTTGCTGCCCTGCTCTCTTTTTTTCGTGCCACCCCTTATACCAGTAGTGACAACGTTGTTTTTACGAATCCTTGTAGAGTAAGCTGTTCCTCTACTCGGTTTTAATTCGGTTTTGGGATTTGTTAATCTCATCAGTAGTTTTCTTTTTCGTGTTGATAAACTGGTCATATATTCTGGCCGAAACAGTGCTGAATCGTGTAATACCATGCTTGTGTATTGGACGGTTATGGAACACGTGGAAGGTCCACAAAAGGTTTACAACACAGGGAGGGGTTTTAGCAAAGTTGATTGACTATTTCTATTGGATTCCTCAATACGAAATGGAGTTTATGCGTCATGTTCTTAGCAATTACAGATTAGGATCCACTTTTCTAGAAGTTCATGCGGATCCATTAGCCTTAAATGCATTCATAGTAACTTTGTTGCCTAGTATGAACGAAATTATTCTTTTCTTGCTCTTCTTACATCTTTCACGCGTCTACTATTACTCCGACCTTTTTTTCGGTTGACTCTACGTGGTTTCGATGACACTTTTCATTTGACCTCACAAGTGGACACGTGGCAGTGGCGCAGAGAGAAACGTTAAGGTCACATTCAAGGACGTTTTACATTAACACAAGATTGCCTGACGTTTCCTGGTTGAATGCGTCAAAAATAAAAATATCAGCGGACGCGTTCAGTGGAAATCGCTTTCGTTGTGAAAAGGAAACACGCTAGATTTATGCCAGCAACAAGAAATCGGATAAGCTGTTATTGGACGGCTACTAGTGGATCTTCAGAACGGAAGTAAAAGACCCCATGAAGCCTCTTTAACACATTGTTACTTGCCGCTGAATAGTCCATTTGATGTAAGCAGGAGATATTGTTTATCTAGCAGCATTTCCAAATACCGACTTTCTCCTAGCT